AGGGCTGTATAGGAAGTGTGTATCGAATAATATGACACACTGGCTTCTAATTGCTGCTGCCTTTCTGATCAATAATACATGTTTTCAAAAAGCCTTCTGTTTGCATTTACACAATGGACTGTAACTACTGCAAAGGATCCATTAAGACCTATTTTAAAAAGTGCATTCGTAGAAACTTGTCTAAATCTGCATTACAAGGCAGATTATGAAACTGCCTTGGGAGATGTTTTTTCTAAAAAGCATTCAGGCCATATTGTCGGACTTGCCAATTTGAGCTCCCTAGTATGGCCATAGCTTACTTGTGAGCCAGGCTGGGCCTTCTCTATGGCATCCAGTTGATGTGGGAGGCAGGCACTGTCAGGCCTTGAGGTCCCATTAGGCTCCAGCCAGCCTCCAGCCAGCTTGCCCTGCATGCCCTGAGCTGGGGACTTGATGTGAGCAAAGCTCCAGGGTGGGACGAGGGCATTAATCAACCCACCACTCATGAATGTGTAATTCATGATCAGCTAAGTGCTTCAGCAAAGGGGGCTCTGAGGTTGCAGGGTTCTCTCCTTCCACTGAGAAAGCGGCATTCATGTGGCATGGGCAAAAGATATAGTGCTGGCTCCTGCAGGCCAGTCCCACATTGGCTGCCCTCCCCATATGTGTGTGAATTGTCATTTATGAAAGTGGGGAACCAGAGCAGAGGGAAGCAGACACCTTGGCTTTAGGGACCACCTGCTTTCTGGGCTACTGTAGCAACATCCACTGACCTCTCTGGCCTCAGCCTCAGCTTCTACAGCATGGGGACCAATGACAATGATGACAGCTTGGGGTCTCTCTAGTCCTGGGCACCTGCTGGGAGGGAGTTCTGCTTTCCACTCAGGCCCAGAGATGCTGGGAACATGCCAAGGTCATACAGACAAGAGACACAGCCAGGACCCAACTCATAGCCCACTTGTAACATTCACCCCACACCACTTCCCCTAACCTACCACCCAGATAGCCCCATGGCCTTCAGAGGACCCTGGAAGAAGAGTGAGAAAAATGCTCATGTTCTGCTGAGACAGGAGCTATGCTGATCCTGTCAGTCCTTCATTTGGGTTTAGCCTCAACACTGCAAGTCACTGTATTGTTATTCCTATGCTACAGATGAAGAGCCTGAGGCCCCAGGGATGCCTTGCCCTGGCTTTTGCTGGGTGAAAGGATGGAGACAAGAAGGGAAGGGAAGAAGGAGAGGGCAGAGCAGAGGAGGGGGGCGATTCCAGGGAGAAAAACAAGTGTGCTGGGGGCCCACAGAAGGGCCATTCAGGGCAGGCTGAGGTCAGGCCTCTGGAGGAAGCTGGACCTGGTTTGAGCCCCAGGGGTCTCTGACAGATGTGCAGCACACACTGCTTGTGCTGCGGAGCCCTGGGCTCAGGCCTTGGGCATCCATGTCTCGTCAGGCCTGAGGGAGGGTCCTCTCCCCAGCCAGGCTGAGGCCCTGTTTGTAAACATCGGCTGTGGGTGCCAGGCAGGTGGGAAGGTCTCCACACAGGCAGGCTAGCAGTGTCCCTGGGCCACACCCTGTGAAACCAAGACTGCTGTGTTGTCAGCGTGTTATAGGGACAGAATATTTGACATGGAGTTGGGTGGGTGGGGAGCACCGTTTGGGGGTCCTCAGAACCAGCTGCTGGGCACTGGTTGCTCTTGCAGCTTGCCTGAAGGAGGGCAAACCATGGAAGAGCAGTTGATCTGCCTCCACCCAGCACCCCCTGGGGCAGCACAGTGCAGCACCATTGGCAGGTACTATTGTTGTCCCCATCTACAGTGGAAACTGAGGCATCAAGCAGTTAGTCACAGTGAGCACAGTTAGCCTCAAAGTCTACACTTCTGGCCACTGCTCATGCTGCCTTGTAGGAGGGTCTGAAACCCTCTCCTACACCCACTTGGACCAGTCTGGCCCTAAGCAGGGAACTGAGCAGCCTCAGTCTGTAGGTTGGTAGTTCCAGGAATGCTACCTGGCCTTCCAAAGTTCCGCTGCAGCCCCTCCACCACCCGCACAGGGCTATGCTCCTAGCTTTATTTCCCCCTCCCTGTAAGACCTGTAAGGGCCCTCAGGGCCAAGGCTTCCTGTCTCTACACTCAGCCACCACTCCTAACAGCTGGACTCCTCAGCTCTGCTGGACGTCCCTGATGCCCCACAGCCACCTGGGCCCATGGTCACAGAACATCCTGTTCAGCCTTCTACCCCTTGGAGCAGCTCCCCCAACCTGGCAAGCCTGCACCAGCTGGGATGTACCAGCTGGGATCCTAGGCTTGACCTCCACACTCCCTTTTCTGCATTGTTTGGAGCCAGACCCAGAGGGCTCCATGTTACCCTGCTCAGAAGCAGGAATGCTTCAGGAAAAACATGGGCATCCCTTGCTCACAGCACCCTGTGCTGTGCTGGGAGTGGGGCCTCGAGACCCCTATTTTAGTCATGCTTCACAGTCACCAAGAGTGTGAAGGATGCTATTTCAGCTCCCATTTTACAGATGACAAAATTGAGGCTCAGAGAGGTAAAGTGACTTATGCAATGTCACATGACTATAAATGGCAACATTCAAACTCAGATCTGACTCACTCCTAAGCAGAATCCATTATTAGAAATTCCTGGGGATCTTTTTTTGAAATGTGGATTTTTATGGAGGTGGACCCAGCAATCTATGTGTTGGTAGAAGCTGCCCTGGTGATATTCCAAGGTGGCCTGAGGACAGGGGTAAGGAGCACTGATGATGCTGTGATGTGCCCCCCACCCCTACCCCGAGAGCTTCTCAATACCTGTGGAGCCCACACCCCTCAACAGTATGTCAGGGCAAGGATGCTAGAGCCAAGTCCTAATCCTGGGCAAGTGGTTGGCTATGATTGGCTGACCATTCACCATGTGCTTGGCACAGAGCTCTGCCTTCACAGGCACTCCCTCTTCTTATCCTCCCTCTTCCTTCTGAGAGACAGATGCTTACAGTTGGGAAAACTGAGGCTCAGAGACAGAAAGCAGAGAGCAGGAATCTCCTGCAGACTGCAGTGCAGCTGTCCCATGGGGCTCCAGGGATGCAGAAGTGTGAGGAGGAGCTTCTTGGGGAATCACAGACTGTCACCTTTGGACTCCACCCCAGCTCAACCTCTGACCTCCCTTCGAGGGACCTTAGGGAGGTGACACCCATTCCCTCTCTGCTGGGTAAGGAAGATCCTTTCTGCTGCTCTGATGTTCTGCTTCCTGAGTTACCCTTCTGATGGTCCCAAAGGCAGCAAGCCCAGGGTTTCACCTCTGCCTTCTACAGATGGCCCTGTGGTCAGGTCCCTGGGCATGCACATGGGGAGGTAAGAGCCATGACCACATATGTGAATACAGGTGTATGCACATATGCATATATGTGTGCATATACATGGGTGTACAGAGGTTTACATGTGAGGTCCCCACAGACCTTTTTCTAAGAGGGCAATACCCCCACCACAGTGTCAGGTGTCAAGACCCCCAAGGGGTGGGGCAGTGGAGAGAGGGTGGAAGGGCCTCAAGCGGTCCAGGCTAGAACACAGCCTCCAATGGGCCCTTTGGGTGGTCACACAGAGCACCAAAGCACCCCTCTTCCTTCTGTATTCACAGGAGCCTGTTTGCAGTGAAGTCCTCCTCAGCCTGTCCCTTCCCACTCAGCTCCCTTCCCTGGGCTTAAGTCTGAGGATGCAGCCTTGGTTCCGTTATTAGCACCAGAAGTAGAGCCCACCATGGCAAATTCAAACCCATGAATCCAAGGTCTGGTGGCTGCAGGGTGGCTCTCCTGAGCCGGCAGGGTTGTGTCCTGGCCTCCTGCCAGGAGGCCCGCTGTGGACATCTCTGCTGGCAGAGCCCCTAGCCAGCCTCTATTCTGGCAGCTCCTCCTCCTGCCTGGGAGGGTGACTTCACTTTGACTTCATATCTGCAGAGTGATGTGCAGATCTCTTATTCAGCCCTGAGCTCAGTCAGGCAAGAGGGCGGGGTTTGTGCACAACAGAAACAAGAGACACTGAAGTAGGGGTACCCCAGGCCTGGGTACTCTGGACCCTTCAGCCCCAAGGCCCCATGGGCTTCCAGTCCTCTGCCCCTAGGTGGAGGCCAGACCTCAAAAGGCAGCTAGGAGGTGGGAAGAGAACAGCGGGCTTTCCCGCAGAGGCCTAAAATCCACCTCTAACTCACCCCAGAATCCCTGTTAGGAGCCCAGAATCTCCCCCCTTTTAGGATTGGATATGTTGGACATATTTCTTTGGGAAAAAGATTAAATTCTTTTGGGCTCCAGTTCCTCCCTGCTGCTCACTCTCCTACCCAGTCGGTCCCACATCCCAACACTTCTGTTTGGAGAGGGTTGGGTGGAAATGCACCCTCCAAGCACTCTATTAGGCCACCAGCGCCAGGTCTCTTTGAAAGATGTGCTTAGAGCCAGTTTCCTTCTCCCACTCGCTGGAACAGTCCTAAAAAGTGGGCATCACAATCTAGCCCTAGGAGACCCCTATCCTCTCCCCCCGCGCGGCCGCAGCATCGTAAGCATCTGTCTTCCCCAGACTGAGCAGAGCGCTCCGTCTCCCCTTTCCTTGCACAGGTTCTCCCTCTCTTCTCGCCTGGGTCCCCAAGAGAGACCGCGCTCCCCGCTCTGAGAAATGGCGGAGGATGCGCTCCGCGCGGAGACCCCCCCAGGCCGGGCGCCTGCCCGGTCTCCACGTCCGCTCGGACGCACCCCCACCAGTCCACCCAGAGCCCGCATCCTCGCGCTGCTTCTCTGCGCAGCACAGAGGGCAAGCGCAGGGGCTACAAGCGGGCGCACAGGCCGAGAAAGAGGGGCTGTGCGCGCGAAGGGACGCACACTGGGGCCGCGGTGACTGGCCCGCACCCTGCTCCTCCTCGCGCCCCGCCCGGCCCGCAGCCCTGCCCAGTCCGTCTCCCGCCCGCGCCCCGCAGGATCCGCCCAGGCGCCCCGCCCCCTCGCCCCCTCGCCCCGCCCCGGCCGCCTCTCCCGCGCGGCCCGTGCCCGCCCCGCCGCAGTCCCGACCCGAACCCACCGCGCGGCGGCAGAGAGTGCCCCGGAGTCCGCGCCCGCCGCTCTGCGCCTCAGTGTCCGCCGCGTCCCGGCGGGCATGGGGCGGCCCACCTGAGCTCCGCAGCCCGCGCCGCCCCTCTGGCCGCGGTCTCAGCGCTCCCGCGATGGCGAAGGCAACGGCCGGCGCCGTGGGGTTGCGGGTGCTGCTACTGCTGTTGCTCGGCGAAGGTGAGTCCTGCTGGCCGGGCTCGCGGCGCCGGGCGAAGTTGGCGCCGCGTGGCGGAGCGGACGCGTTCGGAAACGCCTTTCTCTCGGTGGCGGCAGCGGGCTGCGCAGGTGCGGGCCGCCGGGGTTCAGCTGGAGCGAGACGGTGCGGCGCTCGGGCGCCTCCGCCCCGGCTGGGCGCGTCCCGGGCGCTCCGGCCCGAGCTGCAGCTGCGCGTCCCAGCCGGGCTGCGCCTTGGGCGGCGGCCGCGTCTTGGAGCCACCAGCACTGATCTTGTCGCCGGTTGGGCACAGGCGGGGAGGACGGGAGAGGCAGCCCTGGAAGCTCGCGACTTGGGCGGGGAGCGCTCATTCCGCCCCCCTGTTTCTCCTGCAGCCGCTTCCCCGTCTTGGCTCCTGTGCACGCTCGGCGTCGGGGCATCTTCCCGCTCTGGTGCCCTGTCCCTCCGCGGGATGCGGAGGAAAGCTGACCTTCTATAAAAGGTTGATTTTCCCTTGTGCGGTTTTGCTGCCCTAATCTTTTTTTAAAAAAACGAAAGCAAGTGTTTTATGGGGAGACTGCCCTCAAGGGCGCTCTCAGACCGGCCTAGCGAAGCCGACTGTGGACCCGTGCGGCCCGCATCCCACCTGGGGCTTCAGTGTCGCGCGCCGCTGCGGGTCAGGAACGCTTGAAGGCGCGGCCTTTGGGACCATCTCATGGCTCTGGGCGAACCTTTACCAAGTACTTTTGACCATCTTGGGGCGGAATAGGGCTGTGTGCCGCCAGCGTCGGTGTTGGGAGGATTAGATGCGGCCTTGTAAAGGCTAGGCACCGCCCCCACCCCCAAACCGTGACGGGATGAACCCCAGGGCTGTGGAATCTTTGACTCCCTTTACCACACATTTTCGTTTCCCTCAAACTGGCCTTGACTTGATCCCCTCTTGCAGCACTTATGCATGCACCGAATTTCAGAGAGAAGGAGCTCCTGCCACCCTCCCCCAGTGCTTACAAAGGGCCTTCTTTCCCTGTGGCCTTTGGGAACAGAAGGGTGACCGCCTGCCTGTAGTCCCTGGTCATGCACAGACTCTTGAGTTCACAGGCCACCCAAGGCTTCATTTGTGTGACTGGATCCTGAGCTCAAGGGGCAGATATTGAAGCCAGAACGGGTCCCAGACCATGTGGGAAGGGCAGGGGAGAAGAAGCCCTTTCCTTGGCCTGGGAAAGAGTTGGGGGAGAGGAAGCCTGTTTCCAGTATATGGACTCTGGGATCACAATGCTGCTGGGAAAGGGAGGTAGGAGGCTGCCAGCAAGGCAGAAGTAAACACAAACAGAATGTTCTGAGGATTTCCTATTACTCTGGGTTGCATCTTTGTAACTGTGGTCATGTGGTCAGGTGTGAGTCTGTGCTCCTACCTACTGGGCAGCCAGGGCTAGCCCGCATCCTCAGGGGATTTCCTGGTGCCCTCGCCACAGCCTCGTGCTTATCTGGGGTGTCCTGGGAAGACTGAGGGAGCTGTTCTTCAGGGGCCAGGCCACGAGGGTCCTCTTGTGGCTTTGGCAGGAATGGCTTTCCACACCCCTGGCCCATGGAGTTCGGTAACCCAAGGCAGGCTCTCAAACACAGGGAAAGTGAGCCCTGTGCCCCGCCTACCCTCCCCTTGGAATTACCAAGAAATCACCATTGGTGGCATTGAGAGTGGAAACTTGGCCTAGCAGCACCCAGGAGGACATCTGGGGCCTTTGGAGAGGCCTGTAGTCACCTTTCGCCCGGAGCAGCACCCTGGAGCTGCTGAGCTTGGCTCTGTGAGCTGCTGCACACCGCTGCTAGAGAGTCCTGGGGTGGCCCACCATGCTAGGAGCAGCTTGGGGTCCTGGCGCCCTCTTGTGGATACAGCGCTCCTGTGGCCAGCCTGTTTCCAGCCCTTCTGGGTCTCTACATGAAGGAAGGCGTTTCCCCCTCTGGACCAGACGCTTCCCCAAGACAGAATATTCCCTTCTGTGCTGGGAACTGATAGGAGGGGGCAAGCAGGAAGGCAACCCAGGTGAGAGGTAGCGGCCTAGACCAGAGCTCAGGGGAAGGAGCTGCTCTGCCTCAGGACTGGAGAGGTGGGTGCAGGGCCCCAGGAAGCCCAGAGCAAGGCCACAAAACATAAACACGGCCCCATGGCCTGCCTCTGCATGTGGGCACACTCTTATTGGGTGTGACTGCACACTTTCAGAAAAAGGTGCCGACCCAAACACAGAACCCCAGGGCAGGGCAGGCTTCCCACACCCTGGCATCCTTGCTCACTCTCATGTGTGTACACACACATGCACACAAACACACACCTTGCATCTGTGCTTGCTTCCTCGCTCACGTTCTGTTATCACCAAGACACACTCCTGCCTTTTCTCAAGGATATGTGACTATGCTCTCCCACAGCACGGCATGGCCCCCCCACACTCCACCATGACCCAGGGGGCCCAGCCCTGCCACTCACAGGGATACCTGCCTTATCCCCTCATACAGCCAGGAGCGAAGGCCATCAGCCCCAGGCATCCTGGAAGCAGAGCTAGGGAAATCTCCACCTAAAAGTTGCTCTAGAAGAGTTCCTAGCCTTTTGATATCCAACACAGTTACACCTACCAGGTTGCATAGATGAGGAAGTAGTCCCAGTGTCTGGGGCTCCCCCTGCATGTTCCAGTTGGACCCCTCACCCCATGCATCTCACTGACTCCTCCAGCTTTTCAGTGAACCTCACATCGCTCATCTTCCTGGCCTGACATCGGGTTCCATTTTTCTAGCACTTCTGGCTTTAAGGAAGGACTTGCCCTCCCTGCCTGCGGACCCCTAGGCCTTTCACCACCAGGCACTGAAGAAGGGAAATGTTGCCATGACTTGGCAGGCTCCGTTTCCAGGCTGCCAGGCTAGTACCTCTCCAGTGGGGCCTGGGAAGGCCACTTACACTATGAAGGCACTGCAGGTGCCAGAACACCCCTGCCTGAAGGCAGCCCCTTCTCTTTTGGCCCCTCCCTCTCTTTGGCCAAGGGTTGGGGGAAGATGTCCTGCTTCAGCAGGCTTGCTGGGCCCTCCCCTCTTTCTCCTAACCAGTGAAGCCCCTCTGCCCTCTTGGAGCTGCTTTTGAGGCCCAACCTCCCTGGGGAGAGGGGCTGGCCCAGCCCAGCGGGTGGTCTCCTGGTGGTGCAACCTGAGGGCACAGAGCAAACAGGAAAGTTTATTGAGCCCATTGCTAAATTGCCTTTATTCTGCAGAATTGCTTTAGGGACAGCTAAGTAAATCACTGTTTCCTTGGTGGTGTGAAGAAAATGGGATGCATTCACCTAATGGGGAGCTAATGGCCTTTTAGCAAGGGGAAGAGAAAACTAATTTAAAATTATGGTGTCTGCTAAAATGGAGCCCGGGGTGTCAAGGGGAAGGGAGGGCCTGGAAGCTGCAACCTCCCCTGTGGCCTTTGCCCTTCTGTGACCTGAGAGGACTCCTCTGTCCTCTGGTCCTAACTGGAGAAGGTTGTTGTCAGCAGCAGCCACCAGACAGGGGCTCAAAGCCTGCTGGCCCTGTGTTGATCACTGCCTGTTTGCTAGCTCACTGTAACCTCCTGGAACCTTGAGCACAAGCCTTGTTTTCCTATTTCACAAGTGAGGAAAAGGCCTCCCCAAGGTCTGTGCACCCTGCTGTGGAGAGGACTCAGTGACCTCAGCACTCTCCTCCTGCTTTCAGCAAGTGCCTTTCTGTACAAGTGGTGGCAGGGACCAGAGATGGGACTGAGGAGGGGTCCTGGGAGGGGAAGGCGGCCCTGAGCCTACTCACCTACTGGTAACTGACCTGGAGGGCACCAGGGCCCTGGGGCAGCCTCTAACAAAGAAGTGTTAGTGAAGTGTGGCTTGGTGCTTGACACCCAGAACAGCAGCCTCTCTGGTCCTGGCTCATTTCTCAGGCAGGACCACTGCTTTAGCTGATGGCTGGGAATCCTAGGGGCCTAGGGTGGCAGGAAGAGGCGCCTGTGCTGGCAGAGGCTGACATGCTGGGGTGGGGAGAGGGAAGTGGGGATGGAGATGGAGGGTGTTCAGGGGGTGAGGGTGCAACTGGGCCTCCTTGTCCAGGACTGGGCCCTCCCCCCCAGGCCTCCAGGGCAGGCTGGGGGAAGAAGGCAGCAACTGGGCCCCCAGGAATAAAAGCAGCAACAGAGGGGCCCCCTACCCACCAGCGCTTCCTCTGTCTTGTGGAGATGGCTGTGCTTCCACTGTGGGACCGTTCCCCCTTCCTGTGAGTATGGGGGTCTATGCTCCCTGGGGGAGGGTGGGTTGTGCTTGGCTCCAGGTTGCAGCCACTCAGCTCAGGTGCCCCTCCTCGTCCTCCTCCCTCCAACATTCCTCCCCCATACATTCTCCTCCTCATTTCTGCAGTTGTTTTTCTGAGTGGGTGAGACCTAGTAGTAACAATAACCATAATGGCGATCATCCCACAAGCATTCCCGAGGGACCACCTCTGCCTGGGGGGCTTCTCCAGGGCTGGGGATACACTTGGAAAGATGGTAGGAGGGTCCTTTGACTCAAGGCTGTCACTTTGCAGGAAGGGACAGGCAGCAGAGGAATGGCTTAAGTGTGTGTGTGTATGTGTGTGATTTCCAACAGAGTTCAAGCAAAGCTTGGCTTAGGGGTGGGGTGGGGGAAGGGTGGTGGGCAGGCCAGCAGAGAAGTGGCCCTCCTGGCCAAGGCTGCAGGGAGTGAAAGCACAGGGGGCTTAGTGCCCTCGTCCCCCTCCCTCCCCCTCACTTACCTCCTAGGTCTGTGAGCACCCTCTCGCATGCTCTTTGAGGTGGGAGTGCTTTGGCCTCTGGAAGGCTGTGGAGTCAGTATTACTCAAGGCAGGCCCAGGATGTCCCTCTGGTGGCCTGGGAAGATGCTCCTGGGGAACTTGTAGGGGTGAGAAGGCTTGGACTTTCAGAGCCCACCTGGCTCCCCCACCATAGAACTGCAGCCCAGAAGTGTGGTGGGGGTGTACATGACCCCAAGAGGCCCTGGGC